TGTGTGTGTGTGTGTGTGTGTGTGTGTGTGTGTGTGTGTGTGTGTGTGTGTTGGGAATTGAACCCAGGCTCTGGAAGAACAGTCAGTTAATCACCAGTTTTGAAGTGACTCTGCAGATCTGGGAGATCTGTGGAAGTTTCTGGCTGTGTGGAAAGAATTCTCTGGGTTTACAGACTCACCATTGCTCACTGTATGCCTCCAAAATGTACCCCACCCCACCTCCCAGAGTACGTGGGCAACGCCTAGTGCTTAGGGACTGGCATCGCTTTTTCAGCAGGTAGGCTGGCTTAGGTAGCCTGGTCTCTAAGCAGGCACTGCCATTCTGGTGATTGCCCCCTCCCTTGAGGGGGAGGAGTGGCTTGAGGGGGGGTGAATCCTACACTGAGCAAGCAAGCCTTTCCTCAGTTTCTGCTCGTAGATGTTTGGAGGGAGATCTCCCCTAAGGAGGATGGGATGGTCTGTCTGCTCCACTCCTGTAAAACCAGTAAAAACTTCCTTTCAAGGAAGTTCTAGGTTACAGCCTGGCTTTTGTGCAACACTGGCCTTAGCAAAGGAATTTGAGTGAATTCTGCAGAACAAAAGGATTAGTCTTCCTTTCAAAGTGGCGATGAGAACTGAAAGGGAATGGCACGAAGTTGGGCGTGTCCTAAAATCCAGAGCCTAACCCTGCCCCTGTGGTGATTAACTCACCGGAAAGGCACCCAGGGCAGGAGCCCTGGACCTAAGGCCCCCCTTACGGTAGGGATTTTCCTGAAAAACAGGCTTTCATTAAAAGTACCTTCCTGCTCTGCAGCCCTTCCTTCCCTATCAGAACAGGTGTGTGTCTGTGAAGCTGGGGAAATCCCTATAGTTATGCTGGGGATGGGAATGGGGCTGAGAGACTGGGGGCTTGAGGACACAATGAGTTCGACCCTGACTGAGGTTGACATGCCGGGAGGTGTCGCTTAACAAATTACTCATGTTTGCCCTGGTGTCCTGGCCCTGCTCCAGCTTGGGTAATGATTATATTTCTGTCTATTTTAAGCACCCCCACCCCCGTTTTCAAACAATTCTCTATTGTGCCTCACACCACACAGAGGGCTGCTGCTGCTGGTATAATCCTGTCTTGGCTTTAACTCTTCAGGCCTAGGCCATGGGACATCAGATTAAAATACGACAAACAAAAGCGAGAAGATGTTAAAGAAAAAGTTTAGCTGGGCATAGTGGCCCACGCCTGTAATCCCAGCACTCAGAGTCAGGTTGATTCCTGTGAGTTCGAGGAAAGGCTGGTCTACAGGTACAGGAGAAAGTTGAGATTCTCTTTCTGAGTATCTGTACTGGCCTACTGGGCAGTTCCTTTCCTTTCCAAATGGCCAGGTGTTCCACAAGGAACTGTCACAAACTCATTTGAGTTTGCCTCTGATTCCCTCCCCCCTTTAACGACTGGGAACTTCTTACAGCTCAGTTTGTTGTGTATAAGGATTGCAGGGGATATAGCGATTTCCTGATTATTTGGTTAGGCTCTGTCCGTGCATGCCAGTTAGGCCTATGAGCGTAAAGTAAGTTCATAACTGCAAACCCAAAAGGAAGCTTGGCAAAAGATTTCCCAACTCCTGTCACCTAGAGCAGGGTCAGGCTTGAACCTGCATTCCAGGAGTTTTTCAACCTGGTGATGTGTAAACTGCTCTGGGGACCCAGAAGCCCACTTGGGGAACACGGGTGGGGGGGGGGCTTGTGCTGTGTTGAGGTGAGGAAGAGATCTAGTACAGAGGTTCTCAACCTGTGGGTCTCAACCTCTTTCTTTGGGCAAACTTATCTTCCCAAAATATTTGCATCACCACTCATAACCACAGCAAAATTTTGGTTATGAAGTAGCAACAAAATAATTTTTTGGTGTGGGTCACCACGAGGAATTATATTAGGAAAGTTGTCTTCTTTCCTTCAGAAGACACAGACAGGACAGACACCCTTCTAGAGCTTAGTAGAAGCATCAAGGTTCACAGGATAGACTATTCTAGAAAGAGTGTCAAAGATGGGATGGGAAATGCTGCAACCCTTCCTGCATTTATATTCACCAAGCCCTTTCCAGGGGCTTCAGTTTTTGAACATGTGGTAGAGATGTGTTATAAACATTACCTCGTGGGCTTGGAACAGGCTGATGTATTGGATTGGTTTGTTAAGTAAAAAAAAATATACTATAAATTATTATAGTAAAATAAAGTAAGCCTGTGGTTCTTACGCCTAGTGTGCAGTTCAGAGTGGGTGAAAGTTAAAGGGTGTGAAATAGCAGAAAGAATCCACCAGCTCAGGACTGACTAGGGGTTGGGGGTTCTTTGTATAAGGATTCCCAGAATATGTAGTCACCAGCCTAGGGATGGACACCAGTTTTGGTTTTCATCTCATTGGTTAATGGGGCCAAAGTGATGAATTAAAAACAAACAAACAAACAAAAACTTGTTTTTAGACAGCAGCATGTTACTGTGTAGTAGCTAAGTCCAAGAAATGCCTAGTAAAATATTCATGTGTTATTGGAGACCTATTCCATTTCCATGGAAGGAAAGAAAATTGGCTGTCCTGCCTGGTGGACGACCAATGTGGGGAAGTGCTGCCGAGGAAATGGCCCAGGGTTTGATGGTCTACCTTGGGGTCCCAGCTCCCACTGCACAGAGTAGGGAGCCACAGCATGGGCAGGGAGACAACAACACACTCCCCAGGGCCTGAGGGGAGAAAAGATCTCTTGGCCTGCCTTGTGGACTGATAACAGTTTTAGCATGAGCTGCTTCTTCTAGGCAATACCAACAGCTTCCAGGTATGTGTGGTGAGGCTGTGTGCATGGGCAAATGTGGAAGATACTATCTGTTATCACCAAGGAGGACTGGTCATTTTATGGACCACCTATTTTATTTTAGGTGCATTGATGTTTTGCCTGCATGTATGCCTGTGAGGTCGCAAGATCACCTGGAATTCGAGCTCCAGACAGTTGTGAGCTGTAATGTGGGTGCTGGGAAGTGAGCCCTGGGTCCTCAGGAAGAGCAGCCAGTGCTCTTAAACCACTGAGCCATCTCTGCAGCCTAGACTAGCAAAATTTCATTTGAAGATGGTCCTTGAAGATGTCCTTGGAAAATAGAGGTCTTCAGGGCAAGGGCATGTGTATAGTAGGCCATGTGTGGGAGCCAGGAGGTCCTTCAGCAGATTCTGTGAGAGGGTGGGTAAGGCCAGATAATGCCAGTGCCTGTGGCATTTGCATAGTTGGTTCTGTTGCCACTGTGGTTTTGGTGGTAGCCCCAGCGGGAGGAACAGTGCACTTACTACAGAATTGTTGTAGGGTGATAGGTTGACTTCTCACCTGCCTTGCCTGGGCTGCTCGCAGTTCTGGTTCCCTGCTTCCTCCGCATTGCAGCCTGGCATGGGGGTGGAGTTAGAAACCTCCCAGTATCACATAGGGCTCCCCTGGGTGAGTGCCAGGACCCTTTGATGAACCAGCCCTTGCTCTGCCTTTGCTTTCCAGGTTGACTTATGCATTTTGAGCTAAGAAGTTGGCTGTGGGTTTGGTGGTTTTCACATGAGTGACTTCTGCAGTCCCCAGGGATGACCTGATGGCTGGGTGGTTCCAGAGAGGCTGGCTGCCAGGGCAGGGGGGATCCCCCGGGGCACCCCTTCTAGGAGTCTGTCTCCTAGGCCCTGCATGCCATCATGTTGGACAAACCTCCACATCTGTATTTTTAGCAAACTCCTCCAGGTGGTCCTCCCTGTAGTCATCCCAGAACCTGCCAACCACACAGTCTGTCTTTCTTTAAACACAAACCACTCCCCCAGTGCTACACCCACACATTTGAGTCTAGTTATTGAACATTTGGCATGCCAACGTGGTTGAAGGGAGGTTTTTATATAGCTTGAATAGCCCCCAGATTGAATGAATACATTTGAAATTTGAAGCATGTATTTGTGCCTTTCTGTCTTCTTTAAAAGCCACTAGAACATCACCAGACATCCTAGGAACCTGAGAGGAAATTTCCCGTGTCTGTTACTCTCTGGGGCTGGTTCCATGTGCAGATGGACTTGACACTGAACTGTATCTACACTCAGCAGTGTTTATTCAGATGAGCCTGTACTGACAGTCAAGTCACGGCATGCCAGCAAGGAAAGAAACTTTAAGACTTGGCGTGGTGAAGTGTACCATGAATATCTACATTTGCGCGTCAAAGATGGATGTATGAAGTCTGCCTGTTTGTTTTGAGAGGGTCTTACTTCTAGCCCAGGCTGGCCTGGAACTTCACCCGCCCACCTGCCTCCCCAGTGCTGGGATTATAGATGCCAGCTCCCATGCCCTTCATGAAAGCTGATGTGTCTAATACCAGCTGATGGGAGCACTAGCCTGGATACTTGTGCCTCTGCCAACAAACCCAATCTACCTTTATGCAACCACGCAGAGATAGCGTTGTTTGATAATAATACCAGGCACTCAAGCAGATTTGGGAACAGATACCTTCAGTGTTTCAGAAATGACAGTGAATGCATTTTGTAGAAAACCCTTCTTTATTTTATTTTGTCATGATATAGAGTCTTACTGTGTGGCCCGGGGCGGTCTCTAGACTTCAAGTTACCCTCCTGCTTTAGCCTTCTTAGCTGCTGGGGCTTTGTATGAGCAACTGAGGCAGTTTCATCATCAGTGTTTCCAAGGTTCTTGGTCAATCGATTCCTTCCTTCATCCCTCCCTCCCTCCCTTCCTTCCTTCGTTCCTTCCTTGACTCATGTAGTTGAAGCTGGCCTTTTAATTCAATGTTTAACTAAGCTTGACCTTGACTAGACCCTCCCTTATGGGATTACAGCATATACCACCACCCAACCGCCTATCTCGATTTCTTTAGGATTCACTTATTCTGCTTTATGTGAATAAATGTATATATGTGCACCATGTGCGTGCCTATTAGATCCCCTAGAACTGGGGTTATGGATGGTTGTGCTGGGAATTGAACATGGACCCTCTTTCTGCAAGAGCAATGTGTTCTCAACCAGTGAGCCATCTCTCCAGCCCTTCCCTTGTTTTTTGTTGGTACAAATGCCTTGTCACCCATTGGCTTATTTAATTTTTCCAATATGCGACTATGTGATTGCAGTAAGGAACATGCTTTCCACTTTCCACACTGTTGAATCCGAGTGGATAGCCTCATACAGTTCTGGAAAGAGTGAGACCATGAGGTGGGTTCTCCACTGGTGCCAAGCTGTATAAAGAATGGCTGTGTATATTTCAGATAATGTTGAGTCTAGGGATGGGTGGAAGTGTACGAATTTGAAGGCTGTTTGTGTGTGTGTGTGTGTGTGTGTGTGTGTGTGTGTGTGTATACACGTGTGAGCTTATCCAGTTGAATCTGAAGCCTCTTGTGGTAGTCTCCTGAATCCACAGGGGGAAATGAATTTGAAAGGATGTTCATAGCAGTCTTTAGATGAGGGAGACAGAAAGGACCTCAGTTTACTTGAGTACAAGGTTGGTAATTGGGACCTTGGGCAGAAAAGTTTCATTCCTGGTGAGGCTAGCTGCTTTCTGGGGTGCTTTGGGGGTGTCACACAGCTGTGATTGTGATAGTTCTTGTGACCATGACCTGAACTCTTGTTTCCTGGCTCACTAAAGAAGCCTGGGTATATAACTAGGGACATCTGTGGAAAAAAAAAAGGGGGGAGAGTCTGTTTTAATAAATGCAAAGTGGAATCTTTGGAGCCCAACAACTTCCTTTTGGGGGCTGCTTTTGGTGGGCCAAAGGAATGGCTTTGTGATTTATGGTGCTTATGAAGTCAAGCACACCTATCTGCTCACATACAGACATCTTAATAGAGCTTAAGTACAGAATAGAGCCAATGCATGAGCAGAGATCCTCCAATAAGCAATACTGTAGTGTTAGACAGTCCAATTAGGTTTTGTACACTCCTAAATTAAACCTTTGGATGTTTCTGGGGGAACTATCTAAGCGATTTGGAAAAGCTTTATAATTTAGTAAATTAAATGAAGATGTCCAGTATGGGTTGTCACATAAAGTCCCTTCTTTAAAAATTCCTATTTGACCTGTAAAATCAGGTAGATCTTCTGTGTACTATAGTTCCAGGAGGAGGGGCCTGGAACTTCAGGGCCAGCTGGAATTGAAACAAGATGTGGGTCATTCCCAGGCTCAGAGCTGTAGTGGGTTGGACCTACTGGGAGAAAAGAGCATACCTGATTGTCTTCTGCTGTGTGTGGATAGAGCAACATCTCCAGATGTGTACTCCAGGTACCTGCTGGGCATGCTGGGCTACCCCAGCTCCCTGGCATTATGGTCTCATGCAGGGTGTGGGTGAGTGTTAAAAGTTCTTGGATGGTCCTAATTGTGTCTATCTCTCTGGAGTAAGGAGCATTGGCTAGGATGAGTGCGCAGAGAAGGGATGTCTGGGAGTTTTGGCTTTGAGTTTTGACAGTATTTGAAGATGATGGCAGGCTGCTGAGAGGTCTCCAGAGCCTGGAAATGTAGCTCAGTTGATAAAGTGCTTGCTTAGCATTTGTGAAGTCAGTCTTCCATCCCCAGCACCCACCAGGTTGGGTGGCCCATGCAACCCTTGGGAAGTGGAGGCAGAAGACTCAAGTCTTCCGCTATACAGCAGGTAAGACAGCCTAGCCACATAAGACAGGGTTTTACTGTGTAGCTGTAGCTATAGCTCTGTCCTGGAACTTGCTGTGTATAGCTCAGGCTAGCCGGCCTCATGCTCCTTTTGCCTCTGCCTCCTGAGTGCTGGGATTAAAGGTATGTGCCACCACACATACACACCCAGCTGAAGTTATTGCATATAAAAGCCCTTGCTCTGCCAGGGAAATTGAATCAGTGTGCTTACAGTATGCGGGTATAACGTGGCGGAGCTGCAAGCACCCATGTGAAGCTTGGCTGCAGGGCAGACCGGGAGAAGCAAGCCCTGGGATCCACAGGTGACAGTCATGCAGTGGGCAGGGGTGAAGCATCTGGAATCCTAGGGGTGATTGGCATTACCCTCAGGTGCAGCATCCATGGGAGGATGGATTGTGGTCATTTTTGCTTCTGGAACAGTGGTTGGATTGTGTGGCAAAGGACTCAAGGGTATTCCAGTTGGCAGGTGGTGGCCGATTTTTGTACATTGTCCAGGACCTTGGTTGTTTGGTACACACTGTAATGCCTTCTAAGAGAGGACTGCTGTGTGCCAGGCGCTGCTGTGTCCCGAGTCATAGATGAGGACCTTGCGAGCAGAGAGAGAGGGGTGGTTTGTGCTGTTTTTAGAGCATGGCTGAATCGTGGCAGAAACTTACCTTAATGAGGCCCAAGCCTCATTCCATGGTGTCCCATTGTATCTTGATGAGAGGGCTTGCTTCTGAGGTCCTGCCCTCAGGTAACTCAGGAGTTGCTGGTCTGCCACACGTATACTTTTTTGGGACAGAGTTGGATTCAGCAGCAGAAGTTTAAGGAGGGTCCTGATGCAAGTCACACACAAGTACAGGCTCTCTTTAGGGGATAGGTAGTTCCCCAAGCAACACCGACCAGCCAGTGGGGTGGGGCTGCTTCTTCCTGACACCCCTGGGTTTGGAGTGAGCTTCAAAAGGGCTGTGGTGGTGCCAGCTGTGATGGGTAAGCACTTGTGATGAGCTTAGAACTGATAGGGGAAGGGACTTGAAGGGAGTTCCTCTCATTTCCCTGGCCAGGAGATTTTCCCTCACTGTCCTGTTTGTAGCATCATTGTAAGTCTGAGAATCTGCAAGCTCATTTTCCAGGCCCCTTTTCCTGTGGTTGGGCTCCCTTCAGTGCCTCCTGGGGAGCCTGGCATACATGGTTGCAGAGCCAGACTGCAAGGCCACTGCTGCATTAAGGAGCTTTACAGTTTATCCCACAAAGTCATTGATATTCATTTTCTAAGGGTGCCAACTCCCCACAATGTCATGTAGATATACTAGTAGACAGTGGAACTCACTTTTGTGGTGTGCAAGTCTGCAGAATTTGCAAAATGAGATAAATACCTCTCGGTTGCAAAAACAGTTCTGTGCTGAGGAAAATATTCCTCTCCCTGTATGACTCCATGCATGCATGTGGAGGTCAGAAGACCACTTTCAGGAGTCAGTTCTTGCTTTCCACTATCTTGCCTTAGGGATGGAATTAAGATAGTCAGGCTTGGCAGTAAGCAAGCACCCTTACCTTTTTTTTTTTTTTTCCTGTTTTGTTGTTAGTAGAAAAACTTAGGAGGTTAGTAAAAGTTGGTAGACATTCATGCAAGAGCTTTGTAATGACTAAGGATTTGTGTATGCCTCCCAGGAGAGCAGGCACAGCAGATGGGCATGCCTGGGTGACCTCCCACCAGTGCCATGCCAGGCATGCCTAGGACTTAAGGACAGACTTTGGCTCATACTAGACAGATAGCATCAAAAG